TTCTCCAAAAAAAAAAAAAAAAAGAAAAAAAAATTGCCAGAAGGTGCATGCACTCACCAGCAAGAGAGACAGAGACGGGGAGGAGAGACAGAGGAAGTGAGAAAGCCCTCCCTGCAGGAACGACACGCTACACCTTCTCCCCGCTTCTCCTGCTGGGACTCTGGGCACGTGTGCACATGTGCCTGGCGTTTTCCAAGCCACAGACTCCAGAACACTAGCTGTGCAGTCAGTCACGAGTAATCCAGAGCCCCCGTCACCATGCCGCCCGCCGGCCCCAGCGGCATTCTTTATACACAGCTCAGTGCCTGCCACTTCTACCTCAACGAACTTTCGTTTTGCTCTGCTTTGATTTTTTGTTTTGCTTTACCTTATGCTTTTGGTGGCTTCTCTGAAACCCTGGACCAGTCCCTTCCCCTCTTTTAGCCTCAGCTTCCCCACCTGTCGTCAGGGGTCTCCAAGGGACCTTCCAGGTGGGACTGTCCATGACCACCACGACTACCCTCCCTGCATCTCCGTCAGCGGCCGTGGCGACGCTAGGAGCAGCTCTTACGCAGGTTGAAACGGGGGTGGGGAGCCCCTGTGACCCCGACTTGCTGCCACAGTCTCCCAAGCCAGGCCCAGCCCACCAGCCCTCCCTGCAGAGACGTGGCTCAGACCAAGTTAGCTTAATAGGAGAGGGAAAGCCGGAAATACGGCCCAATCACGTAGGAAAATGAGGAGGTGAGTAAGTCCCTGACCCTGTGTTTACACAGCCTCTCTCCAGACCCAGGAAAGGTCCAGAGAGCTGGAGAGAAGCTCAGGGGTTTGGGCCACGATCTACACTTGGCAGGTGGGGAAACCGAGGCCTAGAGAGGAGTCGTTTTCGAGAAGAGAATGCTGAGTGGAGACTGGCAGGCCTCCGACAGGACTGCGGGTGGCTGGATTCCTAAGCCAGAACACCGGTGCCGCCGCCTCCTCGAGGACTCCCCAGCCCGCCCGTTTAGTGCCGCACTGGCTCCTCCTCTGAGTTCCTGACCACCCTTCTCTGGCACCAATTTTTAGCATTTTCACTTTCTTTTTTTTTTTTTAATTTAGGTTTTTGCCATAGGGTGCATGGGCTCACTGGAGAGAGACAGAGAGACAGGGAGAGGGAAAGGGAGAAGTCATCCCCCAGAGGCACGGCCATGCTGCAATCCCTTCTCCATTCTCTTCCTGGGAGTGTGGGCACACACACATATGTACCCAGCGTGATTTTCAAGCTTCCAGGTTCAGGACTTGAACTGTGGTCGACCGTGTGGGTGTCCAGTGCCTTAACCACTATGTCACCTGCTGACCTCTGTGCTTCTCACTTTCTAATCTATAACAGAACTCACTGGTTACATTTATTGTTTGTCTTCTCCTGGTAGAAATAGAAGCTCCATAAGGCCAGGGTTGGTGTCTGTTCTATAGAATGCCAAGTCTCAGGCACCTGGAACAGCACCTCCGGTGGGGCCCAACATTACCCAGGTCCCGAATAAATACTGCTAGCACGAATGGATGTGCTGAAGGTCACTGCCCTGCAAAGATCGGGGCTTCCAAATGACTCTTCAAAAAAAATAAATAATTACTTTAACTTTATTTATTTATTTTAATTTGACCAGAAAGGGACAGTGTGTATGCGTGTGTGTGTGTGTATGTATGTGTGTGTGTGGGGGGTGAGAAAACGAGCTGCCAGATCCGGGATTCGAACCGCGTGCGACCATGTGGAAATACAGTGCCCTTAACTACCATGCCAGGCCTCCCAGATGAGCCTTCCTTGAGCCCAGCACGGACTAACTGCTTGACCTCCTCAGGCTGTTTCCTCACCTGCTAGCACGAGGTGTTGTGCTGGGTGCTGGCCCGCACCGGCCAGGTGGGCTGGGTGCACACAGAGCTGCCTTCGTTCAGCCGAGAATGCTCTGGGGTGAAGCTCTGCGCTTACCTCGGACAGCAGGTGCCGGCACACTCGATTTGGTGTGATGCTTGCAGGTGAGGTCTTTCTCCCCTCCCCAGCGGGCTTAGGGACCAGCAGGAGAGAAGGGACCACCTGGCCAGCTGCACTTCGCGCCCCAGACTCCACAGCTTGCGTTCTCACGTTCCCTCTCTTCCTCCCTGTGTCTCGGGGGAGTGCACGCGTCCTGCAGTACATTCAAAAGTAATAACAAGGGGAACCAGCAGTTAGCGTAATGGCTATGTCGCTGGACTCCCACATAGTCGACCACGGTTCGTGTCCCGGACCCGGTGGCTTAAAACTCACGCCGGGCGCGTGTGCGTGCGTGCCCAAGATCCCGAGAGGAGAATGGAGGCGAAGGGGTTGTGGACTGAAAAACACCA